TGATAATGATGATGATGATGATGATTACTGTTGATGGTGGCGGTTCCCCACAACAATTGGCGTTCACCAGGGTTATTCCTCACCCAATTTTGTTCCATGCTGTTCCTGACATAACCGTGCACTTTACTGTCAGTTTATATGGATGAGATCGTTCTGTTTTTTGACGGTTTTGAGTTCACACATTTTATCGGATATGCTTTTATGTTTCCGCATGCGCTGGCCACCTTTGTAGTTTTCCACTCTTTTATACTAATTTGAAACTTCGGTACAAAAAGCTTAAGTTTGCTGATGAGTTCTCTCATCCTGACGGCTTCGTAAGCCGTGCCTGCACTATGTCGTCGCGGGCATCACCAGTGCGCGAGCAGTGTCCGCCAACTTCATCTTTGGTGTCATATATGAATATCATGGTGGCTAAAGGACCGCGCATACAAACTCTAATGTCTACCACCGTGACTAGTCCTCCATGGATACATTGTCAGACAGCTTGGCTGCACCCTCAGTGGCGTTCGTGCATCTAAGCTGTTACCTTCAATGCATAGCTCCCCTCCCTCATAGTCATATACTGTAGTATTTCCGGTAAGAGGTATCCTGTTTACGAATGCACTTGTTGTAGTCCAGAGTAACTACGTTTATCCGTGGTCTTTACTCGGGTACTGGCATTGTGTTTAAAGTTGTCGCATGATTACCAGACACTGGGATCACGTCCGATAATCTGCGCTAATGGTTAAGCAATAAACGAATTGACAAACCTGTTCCACTCGTTCACCATAGTCACTTAATTTTTCTGTTCCACTTGAATAAAGTTAAATTTGTTTTCATGGATATCTGAACGACATTGTCGTAAGTCAGTTACCTTTTCTGTATACTGGTTTTAAGTATCGTGATATTCTCATTCTCATTACATCTGGTGACCTATTGAAGCAATAATTCTAATCTATTTAGAAACGCCATAGGTTGTTTTCCTTATTCAACATACCAATGTCTTCACCGACGGTGACTCTTTTCATTTCAGCCATTCACGAGATGCCATCGGATGATGTACAACCGTTTCCTTCAGGCATTCCTCGCGATATGCTACTAGAATTCCTCGTCAGCCAGTCGGATTCATGGTTTCAGCGACTCGGAGTTTGTATTACGTGCTCAGTTCGGCTGTGCCGTTGGGCGGGAACATTGAGACGTGAATTCCCCTCGACCACCGTGGACGTGTGGCGCGGTCTTTATGTTGCGCGTCGTGTGGCCGACTTGGCCGGAACGACAATGAAGCTAGCGGGGGCCCCAATATCTCGCTTGATCCAGGAGTTGAGTTCACTTCCAGGCAGTCGGTCGGATGTATCCGAGCGTATTCTTCTGGATGTGAATCCGGCAGCTGTTGCCATCATCGAAGATATGCCCGTTAGAGAATTTCTCCTTTCACGTGGTCGCTATTGTTCGACACCGTCGATTGTCGCAGATAGTGGCCTTTGTTGTGGTGGTCATGCATGTGACCTTGTTTTGACCCACCGCGAACTTATGCGACATTCGATTTGTCGACTTTGCCTTGCTGCTTTCTGGCGTTGGGCAAGTCGCTTCGTTAATTGGTGGTGTTGGTCACGTGAATCAGACGACTCTCCCATGCAACCAGAATTAGGCATGGAACTTTCAGACAGAGAACATTCTCAGATGGGGGTGAGTTGTTGTAAATGCTGTTCCGGTTCGGTAGACTAGCATGTGTATCCAACTGCACCAATAAAGATATAGTCTATCAGTTCGAGACGTTCAGAAAAACTTATCACGATCATGAGTTTGAGCAGGACACGTATTTTCATCAGGATCAGAAGCGAGTCATTGTTTTTGCACATTTGTTGTAGCTGCGATCGGCGACCTCAATGGGTCCGACGCACTCTCGTGCAAAGGGTACGAGCAATCAGTTGCTGTCAAGATTCCTTTGTTGAAAATAATGAAGGGTGGTTGTCACCACCTTCAATAATGAATGTTCAACCGGACATACGTCTAGTTTGGCTTTCAAGTATGGTATGCGATTATGATAGTTCGGAGATTCGGTCTACCCGATTGGCTCAGAAGCGATCGAAGCCGGTAGCGAGCAACTTTATGTAAGTGGGTGGCTCTGAGCGTCGTTCCGATTAAAGCACGAGGCGATGTCTGTGTAGCACATTTAGTTACAGATTATTATAACCGAAAGATTCAGCTGAGTACCCCACTAACACTATCGTAATTTGCAAACGTCCGCACTTATGTGGTCATTTCCAAGTTTTTTTAACAGTCGCATACACCAAGCACGGTCTTATTGCTGCATCCACCGAAGTCATGTTTAGGCCGTGGAAAACAATTCTGCTTGCCTTTCGTCAATGTTTAGAAAATTTCGCAGCACCAATGTACACGTTAACCCTGTTGGTCTCTGTTTTGTTACTGGCTGTGGCCGGAAACCAACCAGCAGTCTTGTGGTTTGTGACATGATGTTGCATTGCTGTCTGGTTAAAAAATACAACCCATCTCACACAACCCATGTGTGCTTCATATTCTTTGTGACCTTTGACCGTATACAGACTGAAGGCCCTGCCACATCCTGTGCGGTTGTTACATATGGCTCGTGAACTCGTAATTACGAACTTGTCTGGTCACCGGTCATAAACAGATCAGCATTTTTCAGATCGGCACGCAGGTGACCTTTTTGTTTCACCACATTCTGAATGAAATTGGAGTTGGTAGCCGAACTAGTAGCCGTTTTTGGCAGTACCATACTCACAGACAGCCTCGTATGGGTGTTCGTTTGCAGGCAAATATTTGACTTTCAGTCTGCTTGTAGAACTGTTTCAGATCCTTGTGACCGCTTGATGGCGTGAGTTGAGTTATCCGTGCGATTTCTGACAACCTGCTCCTTGTGTTCAATCAATTTAAAAAAGTTTGGAACCGATTGAGAAGTCGTTCCAGAAGGGCTCGGTGAACAATCGGTAGTTTTTGATTGGATAGCGTTTCGCTTTTGACACAAAAGCCCCATCAAGCCAAGATTTTGGTAACCGCACCAATCGACAAGAGCCGTTAATTGACACTCAACAGTGATCTAGTGTGATAATCTGAAGAGGTTCTGCTGTTTGGTTCTCCGTCTGCCTTAAAACCTGGTCAGTTAGGTGACCTGCTCACTTGACCCGATGAAGCTTTTGTGTCAAAAGCGAAAAGTTACCTAATTAAAAACTATCGATTGTTTACCAAACCCTCCTGAAACGACTACTTATGTGTTTTTGCTTTCGTGATCGTCGTGGCCTTGGAAAAGCGAGTAATCTAATGCATTTTCTTTTGTGTTTAACACACTGAGGTCATCTTGGCATTCCATCATGGATTCTCCTGGGTATACACGGGGGAAAGATTAACGGGTTACGAGAACGCATCCTCGATGCCCGACGCAATTGGATGTAGTCATCTCGTACCCCCTGGCTCTCAGAAAGTTTATCGCAACAAAAACTAGTGCGCGATTTTAAATTTGAATAAAAATCCGCAGTAATCGTTGTTTATTTTTTAATTTAAAATGAGGAAGGTACTGGTTTCACGGCGCTGACAACACACGACACTTTATCAATCGTTTATTTCTGTAGTGTTCGTTCCCGAATCAGAAATGCCAGAATTGGATGCCAATTTACTCCAATTGGGTGCATTTTCTCTCGGAAACGCAGGAAACTCTCGTTAATTTTATTTTTCCTTTTTTTCTGAGTGTTTCTGGTACGGCATATGCCGCTAGATAGGGGAGCACATGTTCTTAGCCTGTTATTGCTGTGGAAGCTCGCCTCATCTTGCGATAATCGTTAGTTGAAGTTATCCATGTAGTTTAGGTCCTGTTCGACTACTCGTGTTTATCAGATTAAATTATTTCTTGTTTCTCTTCCCTTTTGCCTTCTTAGAGCATAACATTTGCTGAAAGTGACTCAGGTGAACCGGTTCAGTCACCCAACCACTCGGCAGGTATATGCATTCAGTGTCGTGCTCGCATGGGTAGTCATCAAAAACAAGCTACGGAGGATCGTTCGTGTCAGGTCACAAACAACATCCCGGATCTTGAGACTTCCTCGACCGCTCGTCATTCCCTACCATTGGCCGCTCTGGACCTATTGCGATCTAGACTAAGTAATGCGAACGAAGTGACTCCTGTGACATATATGGCTTCGGATCTTATCGTCGAGGGCAAATTGGCTAATTACATAAGACAGACTTTAAACGCACCAGCACCTATCACACTGCCTTCCATACACATGCCCGCACTGATCGTTCGTCTGTTGCAGCATGCTACGCTGGCCCACTCGGAAAACTCGACCGATTCACCCAAACTAAAGGTACATCGGTTGCTGAACATAGTCATATTCATTTACTATAACTCTCCATTTTACTACCTAACTCAATGAGCTGAGTGCCTGTTTTTAGGATGCGCAGCTGCGGTTGCCCCAAGACTCATCCGTTTCTTAATGGACGTGGGAGTTGTTTGTTTTTCTCTCTGGCCATCGGGGATGTAATGAGAAGCAAAAAATTAACATGTATCCTTGCGAGCTTAGGCCCTTTGGTTTCTGGTTATGCACACTTAGCACTTTACCAGAGCATCCTTTGAATGCATTTATTCGTCTCTTCCAGAGGCGCAAATTAAATGAAGACGCAATAAGTACCAGTCCTCCAGTCGGTGTTTCAGACCCACAATCACCGTGTTCGACCTCCGGAGCGGACCCCCAAAAAACGGTACATGGGATTCGCGATCTAACCCAGGAAGCTGCCGAGCTTGCTCGTCTTTTATCTAGCAGTACTACCGACGCTTCATGGAATCGTCCACGCCCTGTTCGCCTGGTCAAGCAATTGCAACAAGTGGACAGTTTTCCTACTTCGCAGCTGTTCCCTTATGCTACTTTTGGATCCCAGTTGTTACGGCCAACTTTGTCTACTACGGCCTGCTCTCAACCTAATTCAGGTTTGGAGTCGACAAGTGATGGCGAATGCAAATTTGGATCTGGCGAATCCCGCACTGTAGATATGTCGACAGATATTGTACCGGGTACGTTGATTTCGAACTACTGGGTATGATACACTAAAACATCGGTATTTCTGAAACATATCTGCTGACGTTACTAGCATGAGGAAATGACAAACAACTATTGTTTTGTGTTTAGTTGCCAGCCGTTCACAACGCCATGCAGTTGTATCACCTTTGGCCGGTCATTTGAGGCGCAAATAAACTCCAAGGTTGTCTCCCCCCCTTAGTTCCGCCTCTTCCGTTTCTGGTTTGTTAGCATTGCGCCCCATTCCACAAGTATACGCCATTAGTAGATGCTCCATCAAAGATAATTTTCCATTGAGGCCGTAAAAAGCAGAATACTGTTACTCTAAGCGATCGACTTACTATTTCGCAACGTCAATGGATCGCTTAGCGGCACTTACAAATGCGCTTGCGGGAAATGCTGGTTGAAGTCATAGGGCGGGGAAACAAGGTACATCCCTTCACCAGCCTAGGGTTTCCCCGTAATTGTGCTTTTGTTCGTACCTGGCTAGTTGTGAAATTTACTCTTTTTCTAAGGATTTGATTTACTCGAGGTGTACTGTGTGTTCAGGATGTGTCTCAGTTTGGGATTCATTCGGGTTCCTGGTTAATACTTTTGAAGTCTGCAAATAACTGTTTAAGTAACTCGTAAGTAACTGTTTAAGTTTAAGTAAACCATAACGCTGACGATAAACTCAGCGTCTAAGACTGTATGATGATACTCAAACGGCGAAATCGTTAGCCATCCATCCATGAGTTTCCATCAGCATCATGATTAGTAAATTACCCTGAATTTTCTCCTGGTTACGAATGCAGCTACTCAAGAGCCCTAAAAAGCTGTGATACACGCTCTGAACGACATGGAATTTCCATCGAATCCCAACGGATGCCTCGGAATGGCGTTTACGCCAGAAAACGATTTGTCTTTCTCCAACCATTTACGAGTGAGAGATTATTCTTGTCATTTGCTAGGCCGGTTCGTTCTGAAGGGGCTTGTTACGTGCTCGAAAAACATACTTGGCGGTGAGTTTCGTAAATCGTTGCAAAAGTGAAGCCTGAAGCAGTTGCCCCTGTTTTTAGCCTGCCTTTAATTTGGTGATACGATACAGGTTTTCCTATGGACACGGCTGATACATCTGTTCTTGGTTTCCTCGTCCAGTCACCTGGACTGATAGCCTATGACAAAAGTACTCCAATTTCCTATCACCTATCGCTGGACGTCCAGTGACGTTTTTCGACCCCCTACTTTTCAGTGTGTCCTGGCTTTGTTTCTTGCAAGAGTGGAGGAAGTAACAGAAGTTCCACTGCAGTTCTGCATGTCTCAGGTCAAACCTATGTTTTTTTTCAGCTACAGATTCGGTTTCACTGACCGCCTGCTGCCGTTGTGGCCGTATTGTCCCACAGACCTTCCCAATAGATCCCCAATCGAGTTTAAGCGCGGTCGTATGCGAGCAGCTCGTGCTTTCAGACGATCACTGCCATTCAGCTGTGCGTGATAATTACGCGCTGTCTAAACCCCGTGATTGGTCTAGCACCCTTTCCAATGTGACTATGCCATGCAGAAGGATCGAACATGCCCTTTCTCGTCCAGTACACACTGTGCAGTCAAGCGAGGGTTGCTCGTCTGTTCCTAACGGAAACTCCACTTCATCAACACAAAGGAGCAATAGTGTAATGTACCTAATCAACCGAACGAACGCAGACTCAATGCTTAATGCCGTTCATCGCAGCATTAACCAAGTGATTGCCGGCCTGTTTGTGGACATGGGAGAACATGGATCTGCAACCTGCCTACAGGTAAGTGTATGCACTCCCTTTTTGTGTCCAGGACTATTGATTACATTTGTTGCATAGGATTAATTCAGGCTGTTACTACCCCTGTTCCCTATCCAGTTTGATGCCCCCGTAGACCATTCTCACTGTTAATAATACTAAAAACCGATGCGTTGTCGTGCAGTTATTCTTTCAAAGGAAAGTTGTCAGACCTCAGGCAGACTACACTCTGTTGATATCCCAATTTCCGACGAGGGGCACTTACCATTTGTCAGGGTCTTGAAAGGATCAATTCAGGTGGTGCTATGAGCATCACTCATCTCACGCCTTTAAGAACTTCCGGGTTATTCCTTCCACACTTCGGAATTCGGGTTTCTGCTGAGGTAGTTACTTGGAAGAACGGCTAGCTGAGTAAATTGAGGAAACGGTTCGGTGTGATTTTGTCGCTCTGCGTGTCGTTCCCTACCTGAACTACAATGAATTTCTAGTACTCGGTGCTCACTCCACAGCATCTTATGGGCTTTCGCTTTGCTCAGGCTTTTCGTAAGCCTGCCGTATCAATTTCCTGTTCGCATTCGCAACTTGTTGCTGCTTCTCATTCCCCTGTTTAGGCTTGGACAACCTGACAGTACCCCAGCACTCATGCTTCCTTGGGGTGGCATGGCAGCTAGGCACCGAAATGGTGTTACAGCTGAACGATTATTATTTTGTTACAGAATATATAAGCTGGCTCAGTTGTCATTCGTGCAGTTGGATAGAGCAACAAGGACAACAGGATGAAACTGATTGGTGAATTATTCTTACAACATAATAAGCACTCTGTTGAGCAGTCTTGAAGTCAGAACTGAAGTAAGTTACTTTATTTACTGGAGAAACTCCGCCATCCTCGTCAGAGTTTGTCAGTCGTGATACCTCTCTACGACAAAACAGTTTCCAAGGAGCCTATGCCTCACCGGAACTATCCATTAGAAGAATAAAAAGGGTTCAGCTGTGGCACCCTTTCGGTGCCTAATTGCCATGCAGCCAGAAGGAAGCACGAGGGCTGGGATACTGCTTGGTTTCCCAAACCTAGGCAGGGAAGTCGAGAGGCAGAGGTCGGGCTCGAACCACGGCCCCTCCGGTCAATAAATTTGCGCTCTAAACCCTGAGCCATCTCTCCAACCATCCAATGAGAATGTCTCCATTTTTCCGCCCTTATCGGGATTGGTGGCACATCACAAGGATACTACCTTTTCTCTTATCATTTGTCGTTGATTTCCTTACAGGATACAACCTATCGAGTTTGTTGTTGGGAACTCAATCTCTGTGGTCCAGTATGTCACAGTTCACCCGATTGCTCTCCGCTCAACCGACGTACGGATGGGAGACCTAATCGAGGCCCAGTCCTTCCTATGCCTGCGAATGTGGCAGTCTCATACAACACAAACAGCCTGGTGATTCCACATGTTCGGCTGTTCAATGACTCATCCATTTGTCTCTCTCCAGATGGGCGCATGCTTGCGGCGTTTGTTATTCCCAGCGCTACGCGTAATGAACGAACGGGTTCACAAAGCGTGACCGACAGATTTAGTACTTCGACGGACACATTGTTGGCCGTTTACCGTCTTCAACCTAAACAGCACCGTGGCCATTGTCTTTTTGCACGTCGATTCACGACAACCAGTCCGGTATGCTTAGATTTTTCTCCGCTGGGCGACTACCTTGCCGTCGGTATGGCAACGACTCGACTCCCTTCCGTTCCATTACCATCATCCTCCTTAAGACGTTTATCCGCAAACGTGAGTTCGGCACACGGTGAGCTGCCTAGCGTAGGTGGTCTTGAGGATCTAGATGGGCTTGAATCTACTGCTCCGAGCCTCGTTCCTCTGCGTCACACATCCGTCGGTAAGTCGTTCATTTTCACCAACGGACTAACCCGTCCACGTACAGTAAATTACCATCAGTACTTCCAACGGTCAGCACTGTAAACTAGCGGTTGTCCGGTTATCTTCATATTTGGTCGATTATTTCACTTTTCCGTTCATTCTGGTTATGGTTACCATGGTTTCCAAGTCCCCTTCAGACCCCAGGTCCATGAATATGATCACCAGCGTAGACATTGGTATTTTCTCATATTTCGGTGCCAGATTTTCCACTGTATTCAGGGAATAGCGAATCGAAGGACTCCAATGCCAACAACCTACTACAAAAATGTCGAGGCGACTTCGTCTTCATTTTTGATCAGCCATTGAACAGCCTATGATGGTGGTCAGCAGGATACAGCAGTTTACTATACCAGATGCAGATTTCGTTTTCCAAGACCCTACTTTCTTTTCGTCACGTCTGAGAATACTGTGACGGTGGTTGTCCACATTCAGCAGTTTTATTTTATTGCACCAGTGCGGCTTCATACTGTCGCTGACTGGGTACGTTAGGGGTTTTGACGGTTCACATTGCGATTATCTGAACCCTTTTTTAATAGCGAACCCTCTTTGGGAGCACTTTCTTAGTATGTACTGTAAGTTCACGTGAAATGGGTTACTCACAGATCGGCCTGTGCGGCTGAATTATTTGGTTTCCCATAGATTTGCCAGGTAGGTCCGCACCGGTAGGGAATAGCCCCTTGCACCTGTGGTGCGTGCTAGTGATAGAAGTGGACCGTCTGTCGCATAAGCTCCAATGAGTATTACCTTGTTGTATGCTGGAGGTATTGATGACCGTTTTTGATGCTGTTTCTACAGGTAGTAAGTTAACTACCTCTCCAATGGTACAAACGCTTGTTACAACTTACGAATCTATCCGTGATTTGCTTATACTCGTCGCTTTAATGTTCTTGTTCTTCTCCAGCACAAATTTTTCGTTTGGATCGACAGTTACAAAGAATTGACAACCAAGAAAAACCGAGGACCCTGGTTACGTGGACCTTGAAGGAAGTTGCATCAGTTGTACACCCCATGCTTCTAAACCCGGTCTCCTGTTCGCGCAAGTTTGCAAAAGGTGGACAATCCGTTTCAACCACACCGGATTCTTTAGATCGATGGCATCGATTATTACTGTCAGCCTCGACTGGGATTTCCCTCAATACCATAGTATGGAATCCAAACGGTGGTCTGTTCTATGGGACAACCAAGGGTCTAGTTGTGCTAATGGGGGCTCAACCGTTGCCATTAGATAGCAGCGAGCAGCCAACAGAACATTCCCTCCTGAACAGACCAGAAGAAAATCGGTCTGTGGTTGTGCATACACCTGCATAAGCCGACTCCTCCCTGAGTCATTCAGTTTGAATCATTCACTCAACCCTTGTTTCCCTTTGCATTTACATTGCGTATTTACCTCTCCACTCAAACCGGTTTCCCCCGCTCCACTCGCCTGTTGACAACAATGGAAACAAACCCGTCGTATTGCAGATACTTTTCTTTAACACCCCGGTGGTACTAGACGGTACTCGTTTTATTTTTTTAACCCTTATTTGTGGCTGGCGATTTACGTGTCATCCGCTCAGTGCTGCTGTCGTTGACCCTGCTTAGACGCGAGCTGCACAATAGCTTAACATCATTCACAACCACAACTCCATTTGGTATGGTATCGATTGTAGATTTTCTTGTTTTTGTCTCTTCGTTTTTTATCTTGTTTAACAAACTCCATTCATTCTCTTCTATCTTGTTAAAACGCCTCTCAGGGTTTTTGTTTTTAGACCAATCAACTAACTCACTCAGTCGGGAGTCTTTCATTGGGCGTTCCACTTTCTCCTGGTTCTGCCAGTAACAGCAAACTTGTTTGTGGCTGGGGTGACAGCAGTTGTTTGTTTACCGCGTTTAGATTTTGTTTTTCTCGGGATTTCATCCCATGCTTCACAGTAATCACTACCATCCTTTTTTGGAACTTTTGCACATGACTTGTCTGCTGCACTTCATTTACGGGCACATTTTGTTTCTACCACCCCTCCCCGTGTACAATTCATCAAGCTATGTATACCCATAAGTTTCTTCATATGCATACGAATTTATGATAGAACGTAAGTCGTTGTTTGCAACCACATGTGTATGATGGCATACGGACGTCTATCCTTTCAGTCCGAGTATGAAACCAAGGCTTCGCGTCACAGTTGTCAGAACAAACGTCAGCGCATTGCTGGCCAAATTGCTATACCTGCCTCGGCCACCCAGCCATATTACAGGAAGTCGTCTGTTTGTGTGGCGATTCAAACCGAAATCTACTCACGTGCTTTACCAAGTACCTTCGTTGAACACCTGCTTAGACTGGGTTACAACGGACGGTCATTCTTCCAGACGTGTCAGCGGTCTGTGACTGTTTCGCCTGGAATGAGGTAATCCGCTAAGTTCGATGGACGCATGCTGTGGGGTCTACTAACCTTACGAGGCGGGACCTCCTGATTTGCATGGGATTCATCCATACGGTTATCCGGCGAGATGGACCAAGTGGTTAGAGCGCGAATTTACTGACCGGAAGGTCTGTGGTTCGAACCCGACCTTTGCCTCTCGACTTCCCCTGTCTAGGTTTGGGCAACCTGGCAGTATCCCAGCCCTCGTGCTTCTTTCGTGTGGCATCGCAGCTAGGCACCGAAAGGCTGCTACAGTTGGACGAACCAAAAGCTGTCACCTTACCATGGTGTTTAGTATTGCAGTGATTTTGCAGGCTATACTGGCTGGAACTCAGTTCCTTAATGCTCAGTCATGCCAGACAGGTCGACGGGAATCAGCCTGTTGAAGAACAGCGAGTCACAGTATACGAGAAATAGTATTACTAGTTCATGGAGCTGTCGTACTGTCCTCTGCGATAGGGGCGTGAAGGAAGTAAGGTGTTTCCCTTAGGCAACCAGCATGTTCATATTCATGGGCGCAGCGATGCTGCATTCCCCCCGAGGAAGGACGCGTTAGAAAATGCCGGCCCTAAAAACTGCCCACTCAGATAGCCCAAGGGTTGATCGTGAACGCCGGCGCGTAATTCAATAATGTCGAAATACTTTTAGAACCAGAGTTTGGCGCTGCGTAGGGGGCACCTGCTGTGCGCAGCCGCATTAAGAGTCTTACAATTATGCCTTACTCCCTGCGACCGTGCAGGTCGGACTACTGAGTCATCGGCACCGGGCAGGGTCCCCAGAGTAAACCCTACTGCGTACGTCTCTGAACTACGCATACAAGACCCAAGCTCGGTAATTCATCTCAAACCGCTCGGGGCGAACTCAGATTTTTGTTGTGGTGATTGGTTGCGGGATATCATTGTTCACATCACTTTTGTTTGAAACCCAGATTTCTCGCACTGCTCGGGTATCTACCTAGTGATCTTGGTACCTGGTACATACGGCACGGGAGTTGTGCTTAGCTCCAGGGCTGAATGCATCTTACTGGAGTGAATTCCAGTCAACAGTCGTCTTAAGTTGACCGGTTCAGTCAAGATTACTACATCCCGACTTGGTAAACGCTGTTTGCTCTGCCTATACGCGCTCCGACAGACGGCAGCTCTGAAGGTGAGAAGATAGCCTCTATCGATATTTGTTACGGTTACTCCGGTCAGCCAGAAGTACCCATACTGTGATTTTGTAGGTTGATCGACCAACTCCTGATGAAGCCCATATTGCCGACTTTTTCTTGGTTGACGCTCAATCTGGAACGTCTTCTTCAGTCGTGCTGAACATTTGTTTCTAGCCAGCACCAAACCGGCCGTGGACTCATTTGGACCGGTGGAGAGCTCCGATACAAGATTGCTGTTCACTTCGGAGTGCGCCATGAACTCCGATCATTTGGGTTTTGAGTGGTCGCGATGAGTAGCAAACTTCGGTTGTTGACCTAAAGTAATCCGAACTGTGGCTTCACTTTTGAAGTGTGTTGTTCCTGGTATTTGAAGGCAGCTTCCACCATGCATACTTAGAGCGATTGCTTCAGGGTTGCCAGGAACTCAAAAAAAACAAGATGTGAGCAGGGATCAAGGTGCGTGACAGAGGTCTCAAACAGCATATGTTGACTTGGATTGGAAGGGCTGGGAAAGGCCTGTTGGCCCATCGGTTGCGCAGTTTGGACTCAGGAAGCTTATGTATGGAGTGCGTCCCTTCCGTCTACACTGAGCTATTTGGTTAATTTGAAATAGCAGGGGGTGACTCAGGAGTGTGGTAAAACAGCTGTGAGGGTGTTCAGGCCGATGGTGAGGGTTGATGGGTGTCCTACCTTGATATTTGCCTGAATAATCTTCGTACACTCGCCCACGCTACGGGGATTCAGTCCTATACTTGATTGATCCATTTAATCTTTCCATCGTCAACCCTTGAGCAACGCAATTCCAGGTATAGCTTAGTAAGTCATGACAAAAGGAGCTTCTGGTGGAGCATAAGAAGAGCCGGAAGTCGATTTTAATTGTGTTAAGAACGACTGGGCTGCGAACCGCTAACGCACAGATGAAAAGCGGGGGAGGAGGTATGTGAACTACTGATCCTCGGAGGCAGGCTTTCGACAGGTTTATCTGTCTGTTCGAATTCCCCGGATGCTGAAGGATGTGCTGCGAGCAGTACGAAATCCACTTGGCATGCATGACACGGTAAACGATGTGCACTAACTGGTTATTGTCGACCGATTCTCTCCAAGGTATTGTTCAGTCCTTATCTAGTGTCAATATGCTCATGCAACATTCGACAGAAGTCCCAACAATGACTCAGTGCACATAGGGGTTAATAACAAATCGGCACCCTTCACATGTAGAGCGATGCAAATTGCATAGGCGACAATCGAGCTTTTAGTTGTTATGTGTTCGAGATATGCAGGTAGTTTCAAACTGTCCATCTAATCGTAAATCTACACATCCGATGAGGCTTGTCATCTACAGGTTTTTCGATGAAGTCAGCTGACTCAGTTACATTTGGGAGGGCTGTTCGGTTTCACTTTCCAAAGATCAAGGTGTGTTCGGGGGCTAGCCGTCCCTAATAACCGAACATCACATCATTTGGACGCATGTGTCACGTGCAGGACACGGACCAGACGTAGGCATGCCCTGATTGGTCAGAATGCCAGTCAATCCGAGTCAAGCACCTTGACTCGACGGTTCTCGCCCCCTCACGGACATTCTGGCACGACCTTGTGGAACACTCTGTGACTACCCTATATATATACAGTTGTAATGATTTTCCTTTGTCTCCATAAAGGGCTGTGTACAGCTACCGTGCCTTTTGCTATACCATAGTGGGCGGAGCAGGAAGCCAAGGGACCGACACAGAGTTGCACGACCGTACATCAAGACATAACAAGGTGAGATAGGTCTGTCACACCAAACTACTGATGTTTGTTCAATGCGAGGTCGGGTTAGATGGCCGCCCTGGGGAGGAGGGCTTCTCTACTATGTTGTTGGCAGAGTGCGGGCTTAGTGATATCTTACGTGGTCCGACACCCCATGGAGGTTCACTATCTGAACACCCTCCAACAAAACTATAGGGCCACTCACAATCAACTGATGAACTTCAGCGATTTTCGGTCGGTAGGTAAGCCGTACCATAATTAATTATGTCTGGGATTTTTACGACCCTACTTTGAGGAGGATGAAGCAAAGTCCACAAAAAAGTGAAAGATAGGTGCAACAAAAGTAGAGGTCCCCCGACGTTATTGTTTTATGAGAGAGTTATCAAGAATGCTTTGTCATTGCATCTCAAAACCTGAATGAATTGTTTTGTGCTATTTCACTCGAATGTGTTTTAGTGAGAGACTGACCAATTTGTCCCCGTTCCTGCCTCAAAGCAGAGGTCAAAGCCTGTGGCACGTTTATGTGCCTATTTACAAGAATGCTTCAGGGTTTATGGACTGGGTTGACCGAGACTGCCTCCCTGCCGGATAGTCCGAGACCTTCCTTGATTACGTCACAGGTGCGTCCGCTTGCTTGTTGAATTATCACGTCCTTTTACTGAATCTTGGCAACAATGATTGGTCCGGTGTTCGCCTTTCTCCCTCAGGGTACCAAGCAACACTTCTTACTAACTGGGAATATTTCAAATCACCACTCTCGAATACGAAACCGTCCTTGTACTGGTTACACTTCCCTGTATTTGACCCAATAAGAGGCAACTAGTTTCAGAAATCTGGAACTTACTGTCCGGATTCTGCCATAGCCACTCAATTTACACAGGTCTTGGGGTTTAATGGCAAGAAGACATCTTTAAAAACTCATTGAAAGAGTACCTTCGGATGGTCCTAAATCTGCATCGTATCCATTTCGCACCTTGTGAGCATAATCCTGTGACTTCCGGTTATAGTCCCCGACCATTGATTGAACCGAAAAGCATCTCGTTCATCCACCAATAACAGAGTAAGAGTAATAAAAGTGAAATCAATCGCTCAGCTGTAACACCCTTTCGGTGCTTAGCTGTCATGTCACCCGAAGGAAACACGAAGGCTGTGATACCGCTAGATCGCCCAATCCTAGACAGGAGAAGTCGAGATTCACGAACCACGGACCTTACGTTCCGTAAGCTGGCGCCGTAACCACTGAGTATCACTAGTCCCACCGTTTTGTCGTGAGCTGTACCTTCAAGCAATCCCATCATGACAAATGTACTCATTTGCACATCAACTGAGTTTTCACGGGAGACCGAGCCGAATCTCTCGTTTATGATATTCGTCAACTAAAGGTGATGAACAAAAGCCGCCTTACACTTCCGTTGGTACGATATTCGAAATATCGCAGTGTGTTTTCATGAGGGAGACTACTCACAAAGTCACTGAAAACTTTTCGACAGCCTGCGACTGGTTTCGCCCTCCTTGAAGCTCATCAGGTAGGCCGTTAACCTTATGTTCTATTTGAACCCAAATTGGGCATATCTCGACAAATGCACTCCCACAGTCCGATCATGATTTGGCAGACGAACTCTCTACATGTGTCTATGTACCAGTGAAAGGAAGAAGGCCTTCACTGCGAAGTTATTTATTAGGAAATGCCAGCTGACCGGTTACAGACCATTGGACAGGGAAGCAAAACTCCAATTTGCATCTTATTTACAAAAACT